GAAAGCTGTAATTCGGATAAATATTTGTATAATATTGAACAAGAAAATCAGTTATCTTATTTGGTAAGATAATCTCACGAAAAGGTCCAATAAAATGCCCAGAAAATTGTTCTGAGCCGGTTACAACATGATTAATTAATCCACCAGACATTGCACGGAAGTCTAAAGCCTCTTGAACCGTAAAATTGTAGTGTCCCAAAGTTCCATTTTTTTTGATATTAGTTTGCGCAATTAAATCCAATGATGATAAAAAATTTTGCGGCAAGTAGGAATAAGCTTTGGCTTTAATTTGAGGTTAAAGTTAAAATAGTTTGTGATCGGAAGACTAAAATAGTTTACGATCAGAAGATTTAAATAATTTATGAGTAGAACGTTAAAATAGTTTGTATTCAGAAGGTTAAAATTGTCTATAATTAGAAGTTTAAACAAACTTGAATAAAGTCTGTCGTGGTCACTAAATTACCTGAGTTACTAACTTGTCGGAGCTTGACCACCTATATTGAATTTCAGCCCTAACAGCCTGGCCACCTATACTACATAAGATCCAAATATAATTTTATTTGTATAGATTTGCTGGTTCAAAAGTTATTGCAGCTTGAGCTTTCTATATTTTTATTATTAAATTAGGCCAGACTAGTGTTCGACAAAATTAAGCAAAAGCTTGATAGTCAAATACTTGTGATTTAGTCAGATATTAAAGAATCATAGATCATATTAATTAAATATATATACGTACATCAATATTGAATATAATAATAGTAACTATTATGTACATATTATAGATATATATATACATATATACATATAACTAATTTTATTCATCTATTTTTTCTCTTCACTATATATTTGAAAAATTTCAAAAAACCTTTATAATATTATGGATCATTTCAGAAAAAATTTTTATAATAAACTCCCTCTAGCCTTCTCTTTTCTTTTTTGTAAGAAGGATATAATATAAACTACTGAATTAAATTGATCTGGCTTTATTGTCAATTAACAGAATACTATAAAAAATCTTAATTAGTGATCATTATTCTATAACCTGCACTATATTTGTAATTAGAGTGATATTTGTATATCCCAGTATAGTATATATATGATGTAATCAAGCATGATACAATTATCATTATTCTAGCATCATATCACCCACAAAAAAATATAGCTATGTTATAATTAAAACTGGTGATAACATAAGATTAACATTAAAATTATTTTTATTTTTTAACTAAAAAATGATAATGATAGTGATAAATATTTTTATATAGTTGATTATATCTGTATTCAGTTTTTTGAACTTGTATTTGATCTTTTTTATTTATTATAACATTTTTTTAAGTCTTCAGTTATTTTTTTTTACTCATTTGTTTTTTAAAATTTTATAGACTATTACTTGTATTATTACTGTGAATAACTTATAACTAATAATTTATGTGATAAATATTAAATTTATAACATCAGCTACATTTTTTTGTGGGTACTAGATTTGCTTGCTCATTTATGTATTATAATCAATAAAAATAAAAGTTGCACATTACACCATAAATTCAACAGTTAAAAACTTTTGTATTTACTTGAATAAATTTAGTGAAAACCTTCAGAAAACTATTAGAAAAGATGATGTCTT